CTTAAAATCCTTAAATATGTATCTTGATTTTTTCTGTAGAATACGTATTAATTTTTTTTTAACGATTTGAAAAAAGGGAGGACAGTCGGATCTACGTAACCAGAATGACCTGAATGCGCATTGAAGTCGGTTGTAATTTTTGCTTAAAATTATTTGTTATTATTGAGATACAGTTTCGCTACTATTTAGAGATTTCTCGACATACTTTTTCATATTACTGTTATTTATTATTTTTCTTATTAGTCATTTATATGTTTAGGACTTACTGTGGGTGCTTTAAGATTCATTTTGTAAATATGTATGTACATATAAAAAACAATTGCGATATTTTATTTTAAATTATGAATTTTATTCGTGCAATTTTTTATGTTTGTTAGTTTGAGAACATTTTTTGGTTCTGTTGATTCTTTTATTGCATGCCTTAAATTTTTTTACTTTAAGTTATAATGTTGAAGATATGCCTTCTGCCTTTGTCAAGCACTTTAGCTAGGTGCGAGAAATTTAGCATATGCGCGTAAGAGCATAGAGTAGGTATACGGCTGTGCTGCCGCGATTCTCCAACATCTTGTCAAAGGAGAAAACATATTGGTGGCGGAATCCATCGTAGTCCAATTTTTATTAAAATGTACGAAAATGCGATCACTGAATCTGAACTGCTATGAACGTGTGTATTCAAAGCAAGGGCTGCGTTCGTAGCTATTCGAACTTAATAGCATTTTCGTAGATTTCACGAAAAATCGGACTACGATGGATTCTATGATAGCCTTGATTAGTTCGTGCGATTATAACTTATGGAACGATTATGGATGGGAACGGAACCTCAGTTGGGTTGCCGATGGACAGTGCCGCTGAAATGAAAATGTTTTTTATTATGAATAGCAATAATTAAGTTTCATAAAGTTCAAGATGGTACAATTTAAAAAAAAGTTGAAAAAAGAAATAAAGTATCTCAATCAAAAATTCCCGGCAGCCACAAAAACGCACTTGCCAATATAGCAACTTAGTTGCCAGCTTTCAGTTGCTAGTTGCCATCGGTAATACCATTTCAGCCACTGGCCAACCAACTGAAGTTCGGTTGTCCTCCGTAATCGACCCTAAAATCGGAATCGAATATGCATGCACGTTCTGCTGAACGATAAATATTTTGTAGATGTGTGGTCTGTCCGCTAACGAATTCCAGCCATGTGTAAAATATCGTATGTGAAGCCTCCGTCTGACATAACGATTGTCAAAGGCATGCCAGAAGATGTTTCATCATATGTTTTCGGCCATTGTCTTCTTCGAGTATGTTCATCAATACCAAAAACTTTACAACCTCTATGTGCCAGCAGCCCTTAGTGTTTTTGCCAATGACATGGTACTATTGCACTGTTAATAACCAAATTAAGCCGCAGTTGCATTCACACGTGATATAATAGATAGTGTCGGCAAGCTGTGGGAATGCCCAGGAGATGGCGTTTGTTCAGCTATCGAAATCATTACACCGACGGCGGTGGGCACTTCTGCTGGAACATATTTACCACAGCAGTGGTTGCGGCGTTTTGTTCTGCAACAATAGCCTGCAATGATGACATGTCATATAATGTCGACGAACAAAGATATAAAATTTAAAATGACTAACCTTATTCCCGGCCGATTTGGGAGACCACCCTTGGTCACGACCAGAACGCATTTACCAAGAGGAAAAACCGCAGGGATTGCAGTAGTTCTTGCAATCACCGTTGATGATGCTGTGCTTGTAATTAATAGTCTGAAAATACAAAAAAATGCATTAATGAAATCTTATACACATCAAATAAATAAATTTCAATAATTTGTTTACCATTTCACAAACCGAATTACCAAGAAATAGAAACTCACCGCGATGCGATACAGAAATAAAAACCAACAGGGCTGCATTTTCTTGGTAAACAACACAAGCGCTCAGAGCAAACTGATCCGCAAAATTATTTTGTGAAAAATAATAGTTAAAAAGAATTTCTACACATGATTATCACATTAAATCATAAGTGCAAATTATTGTGATTATTTTTAGTTGCATATAATTGTATTACCTTAGACTTTTTTTAAATGTTTTCTAATATTCATTCTTTTGGGACGCAAAAGCAACCATGCGCTCAATTTCTTGTGGGGAAATTTGGTTCCCATAAAGGACTTTCACCACAAAACAGCTACAAAAACAAAAACCTTTTCTACTGGTATACTGTGCTGTGGTCGAAAGTGCTGATCGATCGAATTTTGATTTGGTATTATGGCGCTCATTCGATGAAGAATAGCGCTATTGTGAACTTTGCTCGTTTATGTTGTTCACAATAGCATATTTTTCACCGCTGAGAAGCTTTGTTTACAAATCGAGCAAACTAAATAGTGTGCTTATACATATTTATGGAAATTTGTGCAAATTAAAATGAAATAAAAAAGAAAGCAAGTTTATAAAAACGTGGTAAAAATTAGTACAACGAAATTCTGGGGTTGAACGATTCGTCAGAGGATGAGAGTTTAGTGAACTGACCAGGAGTAGTAAATGTTTAAGAGAGTTTAAGTGTAGTCTTTACAATATATTTTGACATAAAATATATTTAAGAAATTTGTCTACAGATTTACTAAAAACTTCCGACTGTCTAAAGAGGCGTTTGTGAGCCAAATCTATTTCAAATATTTTAAAACTATCCACAGCTCTATGATTTGTTCTCAGAGAGCGTGCGAACTGGGTATTGGGATTTTCCTTCACAAGTAAAGCAGTCTTTCGAGCTTGTGTTTTGTATTCACGACGTTAAAACTGCATGAAATTGATAAAAAAATTGTTTAGATTTAGTGTCTACCCGCCAAAAGTAAGAAAACAAATGCAAAATCATACATTTTTCACAATTTTCTAACACTTCGCTACCCCATCGAAAGCAAAATTCTGTTCGACAGAAAATTCGATACGCAACGAAAATTTCGACACGGTTGCATAGCTCATAATACGAATTTCACTTTCGATCTTCGATAACCAGCGAAGATCGGAAATCGAATGCAACTCATAATAAGGGCCAATAAATACAGATATTTTCAATCAATCGGACTAATTTTATATTAACCTGCACTCCACTATTACATTTTCATATGGGTGTTTCCATACAGCCGTACGCGACATTCGTACGCTTATAGAGTAACGTAAATCTATCAAAAATAGAAGTTACAGAAAAAAAGATTACGGTTATGTTGCAACCAAAGGGTACTAAGTTTGAGAAAAAAATTAGCAGCCTCGAAACTTTGGTGTGAAAAAGATCCGTTCAAAACCAGGTGATAACGTACGCGACAAAAAAAAGAAGTGGTTTTAAGGCACATATACATATATGCGAAAGTCTGCGAATCATGAGAGTTTTTCTTTTCTTTAAAAATTCCTAAACTAAGCTAAATAATGTACCTTTACAATCCTTCCATTTTTTGATAGAAATGATCTCTGGTTAGTTTTTATTAAAAAAAAAAATATATAATAACGTACGCGACATAACGTACGCGACAGATTAGCCAGAGATAATTTCTCTTAAAATATGAAAGGATTGTAAAGGTACGTTATTTAGCTTAGTTTAGGAATTTTTAAAGAAAAGAAAAACTCCCATGATTCGCAGACTTTCGCATATATGCGTGTTTCCATGAAAATGTAAACCGAAAATGCAAGCAAATGAATTCAAACGGCTTTATAACTTTAAATTTCGTATTCAGATGGCGGAAAAAGGTTTCGAAAACGCGAAACAGTGGAGAGAAGAACTGAAAAAATTTTATTTAGTATGTGTTACTAGTAAAAATATTGTATGGGGGAAA